GCATTAATAGGAGGAAATCCAGTTTTCTTTTTATAATTTTATCAGCTTGAAGAGATAAAAATAAGTTATTTGGTCAATAATCATTTCTGCAGTAAAAAAAGTTCTAAATTATGCTAGAAAAATAAACTTTGAGGATTACTTTTAAAATTAGTTATCTGGATAATAATCGCTTTAAGTGGCTAATCTTTTAAGTGCTTTCCTTAAACCATTTTTAGAAAATTCCTTCATTTTGCAATTAGAAATGTTAAAAAAAAGTGAATTAAAACTTATTGACGTTAAAAATTTTTAATCGGCTTTGTAAAAATATAAGTAAATGCTTTTAAATCGAAGTTTTCATTGAAGACTCTGGTCGTGAATAATACAGAGATGAATGTTTGTCGGAGAGAACAGTTTGTTAAGGTGAGATGTTAACGTTTGCTATTTATCCTACAAGCTGAAATTCAACGTCCCCTTGAACTCCACTTTCTGTCAATTAGCAGTACACTGTCACACTGTAATAATGTCATCGATGATTAGTCGTTCTCACCCAAAGCTTTTGGAACTGTATCAGTTAACGTTTCTCATTGAGAATTCAAAGCCTCCGTCCTAAAGTCAGTGAGTAAGGAGAAGAAGGTCAATGTTCAGAAACTGGGTTAGTAGGGTTGTGATTGGTAACAATAATAAAGATTTCATCACGAACATATTTCAATTTCTCTAATGTTCTTGTTTCAATACTTGGTGTAGTTACTAATTTATCGCTTGGTAATAAGTGATCAGGGTGCAATCTGACGGGGAACCAATTTGTTTCTATATTCACTTCAGTGAATTTCACGCTAACAAATTGAATAGATAAGGTAGTTTTTTACTCTGGTTGTTTGTCTCTGAGGTAGACTGTTTGGCTAGGAGGCTTTCACCATTCTTTTTAAATAACATCTCCAAAGCTCGTTTCCCTGCGAAGTATTCTTTGAGAGGCTTCTGTAGATGCCTTGTTTGTGAATGATGGATTTCAGATGTTTCCTATCATTTTGTTAATCTGTATTGGTGTCAATCGTTCCAGTGCCTTGATCTTTTCATCTTCTGAATGGTTTATATGAAATGTGATCAAGAATTGACCAGATAGCTGCAAAATAATTGACCGCCGAGTGGGAAGTAGACATTTATAAAATAATATTTGTAAAATCTCAGCGAAATTGAAATGATTAGTTTCAACGTTTCGTTCGGCAACTTACCTGAAGAAGTTCGGACCATATTGCCGAACGAAACATTGGAATTAATCATTTCAATTTCGTTGAGATTTTACAAATATAATTTTATAAATTCTGAATGGTTCATTATCGATCGATACATCTGATTACTGAAAAAGCACCTTCGCTGGGTGCACACTGATCTGCGAACCAGTTTTAATGGAATTCTTGAGTGTTTCTTTACTACTTTCGCTATTTAAAATGTCTACATTTTGCTAGACAAACTGGTTTCTCTAAACGACCGTATGCATTGCTACCAAGAGATATATGTCATGTCCTGAAAACAATAAATAACAGTCAAGATCATCATCTGCGTCGGTGGCACAGTAGTCAGGACTTTCACCAACCATGCACATGGTCCGGGGTTCGATCCCCTGCAGACGCACACCCGATATCTATGGTCGGCCTGTAAATTTGAGCTACCGATATCCATGCTGAAAATTCCATACTTGTACTGAAAATACGGTGTGTCATCAAGCTGTAATCAAAATAAATAAATAGAAAGATAGATAATATCAGCTGAGCACAATACCAGAAACTTGCTCTACAGTGAAATTGATTCTGCTGATATTATCCAGGATGGTAACTAAGGCCTCATAAATAATTCTTAGAGAGTGTAAGCACACCAAATTTTCTACTGTCCACTGATTCCTTAGTAAAAAGGTTTGTAGACACAGTGTTTCACTTAAATTCGTTTACGTATCATAGCTGATTGAATATCACAAAAAATATTAGGCAGGTTGAGTGAATTGACAGCAAAGTAGAGGACTAAAGTTGAAGTACTGAATTGAAAATTTGTAATTACTAATTTTGAATGTAAAAAATATCTTGGCATCTAAACGTTTATCTGGTGATAGTTTAGTTAATTAACATTCCAACTAATCAATAGCTGTTATCATGTAATTAAAGATCTGAGTGGCCAACATACAAACATTATTTTTAATAACATTACAACTTATAAAGACTCATATATAATCCTTTCTCTTGCTGATAGAGTGGTGTGGTCTTTGACATAACTTTTGAGAATTAATTTGGGAGATTTGATCGTATTTAATTTAGATCAAAGACTGAGATCAGTTAGACAATTATAATTACCTTCCCAGACTATGCACTAATAACCCAGCCGTCAGTCGCACTCAAAAGCTTCTGGTTACTTGGGCCTGTTGATCATTCAGCCACTTAATCATGCATCCGTTGTCCCATACTGAATAATAATTAACAGCTTTACTCTGAACAATATTTATGTATTATGCAGATGTTTCAGCGGATTTTAAAGGACGATATTCCCTCTTCGTCTAGGATCTTCAAATAAAAGACTAGCTGACAACAGATCGTGTCACACAGTTCCATCCGACCTCAAGCACGAACCAACTTGCCGTTATGACATCTCTTCTTCTCCTCCTTCGAGAAATACACGAAGGCATTTTGTTGAGTGCCAAGCATAGAAAGTTCAAGGGCCCGTTTTGTTAACCAAGGACACCACTCAGGAACAGTCATCCGATGTACTGGGATAAACTGACATCGACGATATGCTTTACACATGTTCAGTAAAAACTTGAAAATGAAAAGGTTGTAAGCATTTTAAATACTTGCCAGATTATACAGTGCTGTTCGAGATCATATTTCACTAGATTCAAGCAAGGTCAATAAGAGGAATTGTATGCAATACATTGCTGGAGGTTTCCGGTAGCCCAGGTCTTAAGCAGGTCGCCGTTTCTAGTCAGATATATAGAGTCTCTGATAAACCATTGCTTGAAAATTAATTTTATACTCACTAGTTACTGATTATATGGTTCGTTTTCTGGAGTTCAAGTGAGTTATATTGACCACCGAGGTTCACCTGTTCGAGTGTGAGGCCAGATGCCCGCTGACAGTGTAGGCTGGTGATGGTACTGTGCGTCTCAAATCCACAAGAGTTGAGCTTTATGGGTCCCACGACGTCAATTGTCAACATGTTTGCCTCGTAACCTGTAAGTCCTACATTCGATCCACAGTGAGGTTACTGGTGCGTTATGTTGCATATTTGCAAATTATAGTTTTCCAATGGTTCTCTAAATAAAAACAATTCTTGACATAATTTAAATTAATTTGAAGAGAGAAAGAAAGAACATGTTTGCAGGATAATACGAGCTCGTTTTATTTCGTGGATACTCATCAACTGCATACATCCTAAATAAAATAAAATTATAAGTTTCAAAACAATTTTGGAACATACTTTTTCATAATTACTTGGAATTACAGATGGAATGGATAAGGACGATTCAAAAATCTGTCTACAGGAAAGAAATCTGGACTGGTCAATACTTAAATTATCGCGACTTTTGCCCAACCAGTTACAAACGAGGTCTAGTAAAAACTCTCTTCAGCAGGGCTAAAGAAATATGTTCGGAAGACAAGAATGAAGAAGAACTCGCGGTAATCGAGAAGAACCTTATCGAGAATGGATATCCCGAAAGTTCATATTAAAGTACAGAAATGAACAAGCACATAAACCGAAACCTGACACTGTTGAAAAGAAACCAATGTTTATCTGCCTACCCTACAAAGGGGTAGACGTATCCACAAGAACACAAAAAGAATCACAGGTGCATTAAAAAAAAGAACGTTTCCAGCACCCAGACTGATCCTATTTCACAACACTGTATGCTCGTTAACCCAGTCAAACGTAGATGAGTACCCTACTCACGTCAGCTCCAACTGTATTAACCAATTCACTTGCACTTGCGGAAGCAAGTACATAGGAAGGACTGAGAGGACAGCATCTACTAGATTTTCTGAGCACATTCCCAAGAGTCTCCGTACAAAAGGAAGAAAAACGTTATCGAGTGCAATCGCCAAACATTTAATTGACACAGGACACACAGTAGAAATTAACTAAGCCTTCAAAATAATCAACACACAAAGAAACCCATGGCTACTTCGCTTCGCAGAAGCCAGTGCTATCAAGAGGGTTTTGACCAGACCGCTGTATACAGAAAGATATTGTGACTAATCTTCCACTACCCTGGTAACCCTAATTCTATTTTATTTTATTTTGTTTTGCCTTTTTGTCAGCATGCCTGTGTGTTTGTCTTGTTACGTAACATTCTATTCAATTTTGACCTTGAAGTTTCTAAATCGAATAATCTGTCTACCTACATCAAATTCTGTAATTATGTTTCCTATATCTTCTATCTATAATTCCAAGTAATTATGAAAAAGTATGTTCCAAAACTGTTTTGAAACTTATAATTTGATTATATTTAGGATGTATGCAGTTGATGAGTATCCACGAAATGAAACGAGCTCGTATTATCCTGCTGACATGTTCGTTCTTTCTCTCTTCAAATTAATAAAGGAAACCGGCTGCATTAAATTAATTTGTCTACAAAAAAGATAGCAGTACTGAAAATGTCGTCTTTTAAAACTTATGATTCTGTCAGGGAAATTAGCCACGAGTTAAGTCACATGTGATGTCCATCCCAAATATTGATCCTCCGAGAAACTAACTTATCTCTAAATTTTCATTCGTCTTTTAATCATTCTGAGAGAATTTACCTCCAACTTTCTGATTGGCTAGTTATTCGCAATCCTATTGGTTAAAAATTATGAATCAATTAAACAACTGTTATGGTATTCTATTCCAGGTATTTTATAATTATAATTTTTATATAGCATATTTATGATAAAGATCATATTGTCTCCACCTGAACAAATAAAATAAATAAAATTTAGTATAATTCAAAGGAATAAAATGTAATATTCAATCACGTCATAAATTCTTTTGGATAATACATTATGCAGCATAACAATAAACCTGGAAATAATATGACTAGTGAGTTAGATAGACGACGTAAAGCCTACAGACGATGTTACAGTATACAACCGGAATTTTCAAATCGATATAAAGAAATTCATTCTATCGGGAATATAGTTATTAAACCACAAAGTACACTAGTAGAAAATGATTGTCGCGCCCAACTTGAACATCATCAACAACAACAGCCACAATTGAGAAAGTACAACAAGGCATTACAGCATCAATTCAACTGTGATCCTAGTCATTGTAATGTACATTTAAATGATGTACGGAAGTCATTTTGTTTCCCATCGAATTCACAGTGTCGAAGGTAAATGGTTATTTGAAACGATTGGTTTTGTGTTTTTGTCGCCAACAATTCATTCAAGATGAGTATTTTTGGGTTTTTGTTTAGTGTGCTTCGGTGGCACAGTGGTTAGGACTCTCGCCGACCATGAATACGGTCTGAGGTTCGATCCCCTGCCAACGCACATCTGATATCTATGGTCGGCCTGCAAAATTTGGGCTACCGATATCATATGCTGAAAATTCCATACCTGTACCAAAAAATACGGTGTGAAATCAAGCTGTAATAAAAAATAAATAAAATAAAATATAAATCCAAATGGTCTTAAAAGCAGTTGGAAAAGATCAGCTGCTGATCCTGAACTTACGCGTAGGGAAAATCCACCCATTGGACAAATTATTCTATGAATTCCAATAGGCCTTACATCTGTTGTCTTCAAATTCCAGGGTAAAGTAATATAGATAAGCAGAAGGGACAGCAATACCATCACCAGTATCCAAAATCGTAGCAGACTTCTTCATGGATATAGCAAAAATATCCATTCAGACATCTATAAAACGCAAAATAATCGAGCAAAGAATATTCTTCTCGATAAATTCCTCTTCCGGCTCTACAGTTATATTAATGTTTATTTACACTGAATATTCTAAATTAGTAGTTAATAACAATATTTGTGTTTTTTAAATAATACGGATTTGTAAAGTATGATCAATGCAATTACAGTTCATTAAAGATGCTTAAATTATAATAATAATAATAAAGATATAATAGCGAAAAGAATATTAACTAGAATTAGGGAAATTCCACAAAAATTCCGGACTATTCAAACCCGGATGGCCAAGGTTATGATAATGACTGAACTAACTTCTTTTGGATGCATAAATTAGGCTTTTTAATATGGATTCCCACAACCATCTTCAGCAATATTTAGTAGTCGAACTCTTAAAGCAAAATTGAGATTCGTAGGTATGCGGTAAATGACTCTGAAAGCATGAAAACGTCAATCTTGTGTTCTGTCTCCGCAAGATGAGACAGAATAGCGCTTCGAATAGATTTTGTTTGTCCTTTACTTAACCAGGCAGAGTGATGTTCGAAAATTCGACGAGAAACATGCCTAATTGAATGGCCTATGTAACTGGCTCTATTCGCTATTATATCTTTATTATTATTATAATTTGAACATCTTTAATGAACTGTAATTCCATTGTGATCTTACTTTACAAATCGATATTATTTAAAAAACACTAACATTGTTATTAACTACTAGTTTAAAATATTCAGTGTATATAAACATACATATAACTGCAGAGCCAGAAGAGGAATTTATCGAAAAGAATATTCTTTGCCTGATTATTTTGTGTTCTTTATATATAGTTATGAAAATATGACTCTCAATACATTTGAGCCTAATTCAAAGATATGGTGGAGATATGCGGATTATAATATCACTCTGTTTAGAGCAGATTATATTTCATGTTTCGTCAAACATATAAAATCAATAGTAGAGGGAGAATAAAATTCACGTTTGAACCTAAAAATGAACGAGGAAGATTGAATATATCAGATTGTAAAACAAAACGAATAGAAGAAGGTAAACTATGCACTAGCGTTTAAAAGAATTTAACGCCCATTAGTAGATACTTGAACTTTAATTCATCTTATCTGCAATCTATGAGGACAGGCTAATTTAAGTGTCTAACAGATAGTACACAGAGAGAATAAATTATAAAATAAAATAAAAGTCAATCTAAACGAAGAATATTCTTTTCAATAATTTCTCCTCTTCAGGTTCTTACAATTTATAAAATATAATATTTGTTGTCGTTACGATAAAGGCCAGTTATGCGGCGGATACATTTTTTAACGTAGAATAACAGATTAGTAGTTATGGGGCGTGAAAATAAATAGTCGTATTTGTGTGACAAATGTGCCAGATTGAAATCGATTAGAAAATATTGTAAAATGGGAGAAAGTCGTGGTGATCAGTCATAATAGATTTGTAGAGTGTGGGGTAGGAAAATTGACAAGTCAGTTCAAGGTTATAAAAAGTGTCAGGTGAGTGGCTATTACAAAGTGGTCTGTGTTAAACAGGAGATAGTAAGACTGCAATGAGAGGTTCATAATGAAATAATGAATATGTGAAATGAAACAGGTGGAGGCATATATTGAGAAAAGAGATAATATCACTAATAATAAGTCCGGAGAGTATAAATGAAAGATTCGATAGTATTCAGAGAATGTTGGCATGAAGGGCACAAATTATAATAATCAATAATAATAATAATTGTAATAATAATCAGAGGAAAAAAACCAAAAAATACCAAGAGGGTTAAGAAGAAGGAGCACTCTTGGTGAGAAGAAGGATCATCAGTCTCACTAAGAGTGCTCCATCCCCTTAACCCTCTTGGATTTTTTTTGGTTTTTTTCCTTTGCTTATTATTACAAATATTATTATTACAATTATTATTATTCCAGATGAAGCAACAAGAAGACGTAATTTGTCTGAATCGTGTATTGTGTATTTGCGCAAGACATTTCGAACAATCTGATCACACACGGACTTGTCATAGGAATATATATGAAATTAATAAAGAGATGACCTGACACTTTTTATAACCTTGAACTGACTTGTCAATTTTCCTACCCCACACTCTACAAATCTATTATGACTGATCACCACGACTTTCTCCCATTTTACAATATTTTCTAATCGATTTCAATCTGGCACATTTGTCACACAAATACGACTATTTATTTTCACGCCCCATAACTACTAATCTGTTATTCTACGTTAAAAAATGTATCCGCCGCATAACTGGCCTTTATCGTAACGACAACAAATATTATATTTTATAAATTGTAAGAACCTGAAGAGGAGAAATAACTGAAAAGAATATTCTTCTTCGTTCAGATTGACTTTTAATTCATAATATGGGAATATTTCACACTATTAAATCTTAAAATAAAATAGATAAGAGAAGCGTTCATGTTTGATCACTTGCCCATAAAATCTATTAGGAAGTTTCAAGAAAGCTCACAACAGAAGTTAAAATAGTATTGGAAGTAATAATCATAGCATCAATACGAAAGAATTCAAGGTGTCTGCAGTTTAACCATTTCAGAAACAGACATCTGAAACTCTATGTGAGATGCTTTATAAAGTGGGAATTAAGGTGCCATTTTGAACCTGCGTAATCATTCAGGACTGTATTGACCCAGTTAGAGAGAAAATAATGCAATCTTCAAAATCAGTAGCAATGGCTGTGAGATCAACGACATAAACAATCAGTGTTGAGGTTTAAGTGCGGACCCAATCACCCTGTGGAAATGCAGGATATTTCCAGATGACATCCCAAATAAGATGAAACACTGATCTAGAGTTCTATCGCCCTAGTTATCACCAAACAAAGTACAATTGGTTCATTTTTTGTATGACATCCAAATAAAAATCCAGTGTTCAGTTAAGAGACGCATCATACCAGCTCATAATGTCAGAAGTATACTAGATGGATGATTGGAAGGACACTGTATTTTTGCAGGAACATTTTATTTTCAAATCATGTTTCCAGAAAATTATTTGTGAATAATAAATATGGCATAATAATCTTCCGTAATAATGTCACCACTTCATGTGATTATAATTCAGTTTTGATTTAGTCCAGCGTTCATTTAGTAGTCGAAGCATGTTTTTTTTTAAATATTTTTCCTAAATGTTATTATTGTTAATAAATCACATGACACGCAAGGCGACAGTGATTATGGGTCGAAAGAAAACACAACGGGAGAGGGAATATGTACTCACCGGTCTTTTAACTAATAGATATTATAGTAATATTATAATAATGTGATGTAAAAAAGGTCTAGAATCAATCGATAGATTAATTATAGATTCTAAAATCACCTTGCCTCTTCTGAAAGGGAATTCCCCAAGATAAACCTGGAAGCTGACAGAGTTTTTCATTCCTGTTAAGAGATCTCAAAGCTATTCCATCTTTGAATTCCGGATGTGTCTAGTAGGAGTCGTTATTTGTTGTATTCTTGTCGAGAGGCTTTCACCATCGCTACTGATTCTTCTGTCATGTCCAAGCACTTGTTTCGACTGTGACATCATACATGATATTGCTGGAACTGCTACTAATCAGTTCTTCCATTCATTTAATCTTTCCTGCTCTGAATTCTCAAGCAAACACAGTTTTCCACATTTTGAAAGATTTTGTGGATTTTTTCCAATTAGGTGCAGGTTCCTATGGTAAAATTCCGTGTGCGGACCGTAATCTTCCCCTCACCAGTTAAGGATAAATCGCAGTACAACCAAGACCAGGCTTGATGATATTTGTATAACGTTCATTTATTCCCTCTAACGTATATGAGTTCTAGATATAACTGAATATAGTAACTGAGATATCCCAAGACTGTCAAACCAATCAGATTTCGGAAAACTCTGTTTCACGTCTACAATGTAGCGAACTGTTTTTTATAGCATTATTGCAGAAGGATAGTGAATGATGAATCTTTCCAGCTAGTGAAAAGTGGTAACCACATGTAGTGACTGCAAATTAAAAAATATACTGAATTAGCGATCATCCGATTTTAAACCATAGCTATCTGGAGAATATCGTGATATCTAGTGCTGTACGGACCAGTAACCGCACTTGATGGTAATTCAAGCGGACATTATTTAACTTTCAGTGGTCAGCTGAATAAGTATGTGAAGCAGCTAAGAGACTAAGCAATCCGCCTACTCATGGAGAACACTTTGAGTGTTGTTGTGTGTTTCACAAACTGTCTTTGTGTCCAACAGCGTTACAGTCTTGGTAACATAGTTCATAGTTTATTGCTTGTAGGTAATTCAAACAGCCTTCAGTTGTCTCTCTCTTCGTAAGATCTATAGAAGTAAGCGATGAGAATTACAAACACAATTATCCTGAATGTCTGTTAAGCAGTTAATAGGAATTAGCGTTTATCTTCCTTCATTGAAAATACAGACAGTGAAATGAAACAAAAATGCTTAACAGATAGAAACG